AGGGTTTAGGGTTTTGGGTTGAGGATTTTGCCCTGTTTGGTTTATGGGGTCCCTTATTACACCCAAAGTGTAGGAAAAAGGGTGCCCTGTTTGTTAGGGGTCTAAAAACCCTAAACCCTAAAACCCTAAACCCTAAACCCTAAACCCTAAAACCCTAAAACCCTAAACCCTTAAACCCTAAACCCTAAAACCCTAAACCCTAAAACTCTACTGGGGAACCTAGGTTGGCATTTCGGCAGGGAAGAGAGAAGGGCTGGGTGGTGCTGCAAGACACCACCGCCCCTGGCTACACCGAGATTCCCGAGTGGATTATGCAGGGCTATACTGCGACATGGTTCTTGTTAAGGACCTTATGTTAAAGTTACCAACGTAGGGATCTTGAACAACTTGGTTTCCTTGCTATCGTAACCTAAGAGAAGTGCCTCAACAAGAATCCAGGCTATGGTGGACGAGTCTGTGGACGAGTCTTCTGATATGCCCAAGCCGAGCCACGTGCTGTTGCAGATGGGAGTGTCCCAAGCTGCCATCTCCTACTTTTCTGCAGTGCAGGGCGTAGGGTTTAGATTCCCTGTGAATTCCGCATCCCTAAACCCCAAACCCTAAACCCCTAAACCCCTAAACCTTAAACCCCCAAACCCTAAGCCCTAAACCCCTAAACCCTAAGCCCCAAAACCCTAAGCCCTAAACCCTAAACCCCTACACCCCTAAACCCCAAAACCCTAAACCCTAACAAAGATTGCTACCCAGGTCGGCTCGATGGCCGCCGCCGTGGTTGGCTACTTCCGAGCCCGCTTCGGGGAAAGCTGCCCGAAATTCCTGGTGACCCTGGGCTTTTAGGGTTTAGGGCTTTTTAGGGGTTTAGGGGTTTAGGGGTTTAGGGTTTAGGGCTTAAGCCCGAAATTCCTGCTGACCCTGGGCTCTTTAGAGTAGGTCTTATGGGCTTTCAGAGGATCTCTATGGCTATTTATAGCATCTTTAGGGACGTTTGTAGGATCTGTTTGGGCTTTTTATAGGATCTTTAGGGGCGGTTATAGGATCTTTATGGGAGGCGTGATTCTGGGCTTTGTGCGTCTTGCTGCATGGCTGATAGGGTGTTGGTTTATAGGGCTTAGAGTTCAGAGCGCGTGTCTTTTGTCAAGTTCTCATAGAACGAAAGTTACTCCAATCATGAGATCTCGATGCAGAGTTTCGGGTTTCTGTCACGAGTTTCATGCGGGTGTCAGAAGGCCGTATGGGTGGATTACAAGATGGAGGGTGGTTCCAAACGAGATCTATAAGTCTTCTGTGTTGCATGGTTCTCCAGACTGCCCTCATATAAGACAAACAGGCTGATTACTGCACATCCCTACTCCGATGCTGAAGTTCCTAAACCTTGTCTGGGACATTTTCAGGTGGGTAGTTACCGGTATAGGAGCCTCATAGAAGGTCTAAATGCCTTATAGAAGCCTTATAGAAGCTCTAAATACGCCAAACTCCCCGCCTGTAGTTTCCTCTAACCTTTAGCCAACACCCCGAACCTCCAACCCCAATCCCCCAAGCTTATTCTAAGCCCTAAACCCCAGAAACCCCAAACACTAAACCGGGCCCAAGACCCTAAATCCGAATCTCTCACCCCTAGGCTCGAAGAACTCATAGTCTAAGGCTTATGGGCCCAAAGACCATACTATATACTATATAAGGCTTTTGGGCTGTTTTGAGCCTTGGTCTAGGACATTTTCAGGTGGGTAGTGCCGTCAAAGGACCCTTATAGAAGGTCTGTATACCTTATAGAGGCCTTATAGAAGCCTTAAATACCCTAAACTCCCCACCTGTAGTTTCCTTTGGCCAAGGCAAGTCTAAATCGTACAGGCAAGTCTAAATCGTACACCCCTACTAGGCCCTAAAGCCTAAACCTTGGAAAGCATCCCTCAGGAAGCCAACCCCAAGCCCCAAACCATAAACCCCAAGCCCGAAACCCATACTATATAAGGCTTTTGGGCAGTTTTGAGCCCTGGGGCTACCCAGATCCCAGGATCTACCTGTAGTTTCCTTTTACTTGGGTTTCGGGTTTAGGGTTTATAGGGTTTAGGGTACTATGTAAGGCTGTTGGGCTGTTTTGAGCCTTGGGGCTACCCAGATCCCATTATAAGCCCTAAACCCAATAAAAACCCCAAACCCTAAATCAGACCAAAAGCCTAAACCCTCAATTCTTAATCCTGGGCTCTAAGAGCTCATATTCTAAGGCTTTTGGGCCCAAAGACCATACTACTATCAGGCCTTTGCGCTGTTTTGAGACCCTAAACCCTAAACCCCAAGCCCTAAATCCGGGCCTTGGGGCTACCCAGATCCCCAAAAGGTACTCGGCCCCTAAGATATAGGTTATAACTATAGTTACCCTACTTATAACCCTACTTATAACTACCCATGAACCTCCCAAGTACCTATATAGTACCCTAAACCCTAAACCCTAAACCAGACCCAAACCTTAAACCCTAAGGCTTTTGGGCTGTTTTGAGCCTGGGGGCTACCCCGATCCCAGGATCGAGCCTTGGAACGCTGCCTGCGGATTCGCCTCGGCACGCGCAGGGGAGCTGCAGAGTGCACCTCTCCTCGCCCAAACCGACCCTCTTAGAGGGTCGGTGTCTTCCTACTTTGGGTTTAGGGTTTAGGGTTAAGAGTGTTTAGGGTTTAGGGCTTAGAGGGTTTAGGGTTTAGAGGGTTTAGGGTGTAGAGGGTTTAGAGGGTTTAGAGGG